TTGCATACTCTCTTTGGTGTACTGACATTGTATTAGCATTTCTTGTGAATATAGTAAAGAATCTTGTGTCTTGGTGCTTAAATTTAAGCTGTATTGCTGAGAATATTTCTATTTGAGTTGAGATAGAACTGTATTTGTGTTCAACAAACTGTTGGATGCCAGCTGCTGTTTGTAAGACTGTTGTTATTGTGTTATATAACCAGAGCTGTAGATCAAATGGTGTTTTAGTTTCTTCTAATATTTTATTTTGTATATGATCTGCCCATTCTGAGTTATCTGGTGTATTGAAGGTTAGTAGTTTAAAGCCTTTCTATATGACCTCACTATAGGATGGCTTTTGAATAAAATTAAGATCTATTGTAGTAGATGAATGTGTAGGTAAAATTTTAGAAGGTGAGTGTATAGGTATGGATAAGTTGGTTGAGTCAGTACTGATTAGTTGTAGCCTGGCTCATTTTTTCCTTTTCTGGTTCTCTGATAGCTATATAGTTAGTTTGTACGCTGTGTGATCAGCTGTATTGCTTGTTGATCTATTAGCTTGTGTAGATAAGCGTTTATTGGCTTATCTTGTATAACTGCTAGTTTTGTTCTTACTTGTAGAGGCTGTTGTGTTACTGTGTACTGTTTGGATGTTGATATTGGTTATGACCTTTTGGGTGATAGATGTGGCACTTGCTGTATTATCTGCTTCCTTGTTTTGGTAAACATCATCATCTATATCAATTTCTAGTATTAGATTGTAAGGAACTAGTGGTAGTTCTTTCGAATATTTAGGTGCTACATAGGCCCTTTGTGTGTCTTCATATGCTTTAATTGTAATTTCTAAGTCACAGCTGCGAGTACTTCTAGATAATTTGACGTTAATGTTTACAAAGTTATGTTTGGAGTAGTTTGTGAGATCGAATAGAATTGATTGAGTAATATTGTTGTGCTTGCATATTCATTGTGAAGGAAATTTGACCAAATTTGGAATATGTCCAGACCTGGTAAGGTCAATAGTGAATAAGTATCTATCAGCGAAGTCAGTGAAAATAAAGGTAACAGTGAAGATAAGTTTTGTCTAATCTTTGATGCTATCGATAGTTTGCATGTTGTCCTGAGATGTTTCCTGAGATAGGGTTGACAGGTCCATAGGAACTTCATTACTTGCAAGTAGAGAGTTGTGGTGGGTGTTGTTTATTTGTTCTCCATCCAGTAGTTGTTGCTCCAATGCAGGTTTTTTAGAAAAGCTGATTGTTTTATTATATTTCCAGCTACGCTGGACAAGTTTACTTAAAGGCCCGGTATATGTTTAATTAGTACTTTCTTGAGTTTTCTTTGTTCAGGGTTTTTTCACTTTTGCTCCAGTTTTGGTAAAATTGATCTGCGGTTAGAGTTTTTGCTTTTGTAACCTCTATAAGTGTATGCGCTTGAGATCTAATTTTAATGATATACACTTAAAGAGAATGCATTTACAGAAGTGTTACTGTATAGTCATTTCTCTATAAGTGTATATTATCGGGGATATGCATTCATAGATAATTTATTGGTTAAATGATATGCACTTAAAGAGAGAAAATTATAAGGAAGCATACTTATAAAGTGTGTGCTGATATATATTTCTTAATTTATAAAGTGTGAGAAAGTTAAGAAACTTAGTATACTGGTTTCTTGTAGGATAAGTTTATTTGATAAAACTAATATAAATTTATTAATCTTTCGCTAAATTTACTATAAGTACATACACTTGGGCCCAATATGCACTTTAGAATCAATGGTTGGACAAGTTAAAATATGTATTGAAAATTAGAGTTAGGTTAGTTGAAGGTATAAATTAGGTTAAGTCTGGATAGGTTAGAAATCATAATGTTGTTCGATGAATATTCATGAATTCTCTATAAATTTTCATGAATTTTCTGAATATTCATAAATTCTCTGAATATTCACAAATTCTCTATGAATATTTGAAATATCCATGAATATTTGTAAATTCTTTGAATATTCACGAATTTTCATGAAATATTTGCAAATTCTCTGAATATTCAGGAATTCTTTGAATATCTGCAAATTTTCCATGGATATCTGTGAATTCTTTGAATAACTGTGAATTTTATATGAATATTCAGTAAAATGTGTATATTCATTCATTATTATTCACAATTCATTAAAATCCGTGAATTTCATTGAATAGCCTTAATGAATATTCAAAGGATCCCAACTCTATTGCCAAGTTTAAATAGATGGTTATTGAAAAACCTTTGCTTAAAAGTTAAATAAAAATTCATTGTAACAATTCTTTTTTTTAATTTTACTTTAAAAACATATATATAAACAAAGATTTCTTGACTATAATTCAATAAAAAATTTTTTATTTTAATTCTGAAGACTTATAGGATCAAAATAAAAAAATTATAAAATTTTTGTATAGGAATTTGTTGAGAAATATTCATTGAAAGCTTAGCTGTGGCTTCTTTTTTATAGATACCTAAACTTTGAATAAATATTGCTCAACACTTACCTGAACAAATTTTTTAAATTTTTTTTTATATCAATTCTAAATAACATAAAGCTAAAATAAACAAATTTGATTAAATTTGGTCAAGTTGTTGTCTAGTAATCATTCAAATTTTAAGTATCTATAAAAAAAGAAGCTGAGGCTAGATAGTTTTTAACTTTTAATGAATGTTTCTCGACAACTACCTATACAAATTTGATAAACAGTTTTTTTATTTTAATTCTATAAACTCTTAAAATAAAAAATTTTCATTGAATTGGATAGATGGTTGTCGAGAAATATTTGTTTAAGGTTTAGAAAAATTTTGCCCGATTATTATTCTAATTTTTTTTTAAAAAACTTCTAGCAAATATTTCTCGATAATCACTAAACCAAATTCAATAATTTTTTTTTATTATGATTCTACAGAAGTATAGAATTAAAATAAAAAATTTTTTGTCAATAGAAATCTTCGCTAGAAGTTTAGAAAAATTTAAAAATTTTGGATGATTGCTAAATTTTGATTGGTCGCACGAAATTTTTTAGGTTGATAACACTGGGACAGTTGGGGATTATATCACTAATATTCCATTCCTAGAGCTACTAAATCAACGTACTTTTGACGATATTTTCGGCTTCATTCTGTTTAAGAACAAGTTTTGCCTTCCACAGCAACATGCTCAAGTACGGATGTGCATAGAATGGAAAGAAAATTTGGTTTGTCATAAGAATAAGACACGAATAAATATAGCCATATGTAGAAATGATCAGAAAATTACCTGCCATATAAATTCTACAAGTTTACTTCAATTGGTAACCTCCCCCTGCTAATGGCTCGTAATAGTATATTTTTTCATTTCACAAATCGAATAGAGATGCATACATCTAATTGTAGAATCAAAGGTCGGCTTAATTTAAAAAATTTATAAATACAACCTTAAGCCTTAACGTTAATCAGATAAAAAAATTTTCTGGGATCAGTTGCGCGCGCAACTCATACAATCCATATAGACATGTAGTACAGATTATACAAAATTTTTTGACGAAAATCTTTCCCACTTTCCGATTTTATCAAAAAGGAATTGTGGCGTAGGGATCAGTCCTGGAAAGAACTAATAAGGATCGGTCTTTTTAGCCGGTCTCATGATTAATTGGTCCCGGTCCTGAGACCAGTTCGGCCGGTCTTCATAAATAGCTAATTAAACAATATTAAAAATTATTTTGGACAATCACTCATTTCAGGGACCGAGACTGGACCAAAAAAACGTTAATGGACCGGTCTTATTAGGACCGGACTGATTCATCCCTATTGTGGCGGATCGCGAGTAAAAGCGCAACCAAAATGTAAGATGTCTTTATTGTAAAGCCCTCGAATTTTTTTTGCAGCAAATGCTGTTTTTGCTATGAAAATCCGGGGGCACTGCTTTATTGGAAATGAGCAAAAAATAACTAGCAATCTTTGCATATGTATAAGGTTGGTACAAATTTTTAACCCACGATTCAGGATCAGGAAAATCCAAAACAACCGTCTGTTTTATCAAAAATTACTTATTTCTCGAAAATCCGCATAAAAACTACCTTTATTGCTTTAACATAAGTTAAGCAATTTTACGACATGCCTAACCTTAATAATATAATTTTGTTTGTGCTGCCAACTTCAAGAATTGCATAATAAAATTGGATGGTTACCGTATCGAACTGATTAAAAGATTCTCTTTGTAATTTCTATGCAAATTGTTAATTACGAGCAACTCTTGTTTTTTTTTTTTAAAAAAAAAAATCCAAACTGTCCGCCATAATGTACACATTGTAAATTTTCCTGATCGTAAGGAAGACCACAATTAATAGAAATTATTTGACCTTAATTAATTTATCGGTACACAGCAACAATTATCTAATTAATTGCAATTTTTGCCGCAGTAATTACTTGAAATAATAGACATACAGAACGTACGTAAAAGTTGATCTTGACGTCAGAAATTGTAATTTTAAAAAAATAGCATACACAATGAATTAAAAAATCAAATTATCAAATGATTTCTTTTTTTTAATGACTTGCACAATTTACATTTCTTTTCGAAGAAACATATAGAAATAGAACTTTAAGTCTTTAAATTGGTTGCAATGAGCGCAAAAATCCCAAACAAGCGCTGCATAGAGGTTTTTTTTATAGATCCGCAGATGGATGTATTAATTTTTTCGGCTTCAAAATAGAGCATTTTAAAGTCAAAAAATTTATATTATAGCAAACTTTTATGGTAAGAGCAAAATTTGCAATTGTTTTTTAACAATTTCGTTGATTGTAATTGCAATTAATTTTTAGGCGTTTTTTTGTATATATTCTTGTATTAGACCCCAGGATCTTTTAATCGGTGCAGATACTATAATTTTTATCTAATTAGCGGAATGTACTAGGAACATGGAATTGGAATTCATTATCATAACGATAATGATATTTAGAAAACCCTAATCGTAATACATAGTATGATTTTTTTTTTTGGCTTAGCTGATTGAGCAAGATAACAATATGGATTGTGGCCTAGACTTAGAAGGTTCAAATACATACAAAAAAGTTAAACCTGTAATAAATGGTGTCATATGATTGTGACTCTGCCAATGAAAAGCGCGTGATTATTACTAAGTACTTTCTTCTTCATTTCAAAAGAGTTATATCCGTTTTATTGTACCATTTATCTGAGACAATTATTGGAATGTTAGTGGCCAAGCCAAGGAGCAAATTACATGTTAAAACCTTTGTTTATCTCATTGATATTACGGTAATTTTGCATATGGGCCAATTCAGGACATGCATATAGTCTAGACATAATGCCCTAAACATGTTTAATTATGTAACAGGTTGTTTGACATTGTATTGCCATATTGTCTTACTAAATAGTATATAGCGATAGAACTAGACGATATCGGTATGTACGTACGTACGTACGTCCGTACGCAAATAAGCAAACCATACTAGATATGTCAAATTACATGACTCAATAGGAATTAGACTCTTGGGTTTTGTGTGGGCTCTTGGGTTTTGCGCATTATCTTGCATGATCTATTATATCCTTGAATTATTTAGGGTTTTATTTGAATTATTTAGGGTATTTACTCAAATTTATTGAGCAATTGTTCCATGAGCAGGCCAATTAAAAACAATTAAATACAGGCTCAAAATCAATTTAGTGCCTCTGTCTAGGGACCAATGTCGCCGATTAGCCCATATGGGAAATGATACAGTGAAATGCGATTTAATTTGTTACGATAAGAATATTCTTAAAAGCTACAATGCAGGACTCTTACATATTAATACGGCTAATTTTGATTACCTAAATAGTGAACCAATTAACAGGGCATTCTAAGGTCACTAAACCTTCCTTTTTTTTTTAGGGATATTACAGTACGTAATTGCGGCTCTTTGTAAAATTGCATTAAACTAAAATTCAGTCACCAAATCTGGATATTTGGTCCAAAATTTAAGTTTTACGTAGTACCAAATTACCTCATCAATCGACACTAAGCCCCCAAAATTTTTCTAACCCATCCTTCCCTCATATACACAGTCCCTATTTTAAGTGGGATTTGCATATTTGCATCGTGATCTCTATATACCGGGCGGGTGCTTGATAAGTCCCTATACAGGACCTTTTTTATGTCTCCGCTAGTATTAGTTTTTATTATATAAAAATTATAACAATTACTAATTATGTACGTATTACGTATTTTATAATTTTTAATGGTTAAAAAAAGTCCTGTTTAGGGATTTATCAAACACCCGGTATAAAGCCAGGCAAAATGACGCACACTAGCTTAGGAACATCAGTCAATGATTAGTGCGATTATTGTTATTGTAAAATAATCTAAAAAATTAATCAATTGTGTAACAAGAAATTTCTCTTTTAACCATATGTTTTTTTTATGAAGAATGTGCTACGAGCCAAATATAACAATTTAAGTTCAATATATAGTATCGGGATATCTTTTAATTTATTAATCCGACGACAAATTTGGATCCCAATCTCAACTCTAAGTGCTGTCCAGGAAAAATCTATCATCGGAATTTCAATTATAATTGGTGAAGAGTTGTCACAAAATATAATTGAAAATTCGATGACGGATTTTCCATAGACGTAAGGATGGTAAAAAGCATTTTTCACCGTTTTAAAACATGTGACGCTGTGGTCAAAATAGATTAAAATTTTAAAACTCAGCATATCAAGATTATAAACATCACATGTTTGAAAACGGTGAAAATGTTTTTTACTATCCCTACATAGACAGCACTTAGGAACACAAAACATAATTGAAAGTCCAATGACAGGTTTCCCTTGGCAGCACCTCAAATGTAAAAGTTTACGTTACGCAAGAGCTATATAAATATCGATGACTTTTTAACCTTCTTTTTTTTCCCTAACAAAATTTTGTGTTTTCAAATGTTATTGTAAACAATAATGTTTCAAACAATTCTGCATAAGGTAAATTATACACGTCAACCCTGTCAAACTTGATATAAGTGAAAGACAGATTTTTTGTATTCGTTTTGAAAGTTACCGTATCATCGCGAAATAACGCCCAGAAACTTTATTACGAGGTATAAATTTCCGGAGAACTAAGACTTAATTTTAGATAATTTATTTTTAAAAGTCTTCGTCTAGACTAATTCTTAGCTTTCTGGAAATTATGTGCTTCGAATCAACATCCCGGGCATTATTTCGCGCAAAACGGTATATTAACGTATTGACATTAATATTGCTACAGAATGAGCTTAATTGTCAGTTTTCTGTCAGTTTTGATAAGAATTATCATAATTGCATCTTCTTTAAAAGTGTATAATCTATTAGGTCCTAAAACTAAAATGGAAGATACGGAAGATTTATAAAAAGCATAATAACGACAAATGTAATTCTGAGGCCTCAGAAATAATTAAAGATGAGCAAGACTGGTTAGAAATTATGGTGGAAAATGGCTATATACGAGTATTTGATTACTCTGGGTTCAATGAAATCAATGAAATTGACGAAGGTATTTATAGTCTTTTTCTTTTTTAAGAAATTATTCATAAATAATTATAATTTTTATTGTTGAAATATAATTAAGGTGGTCACGGTACTGTTTATTCGGCTGAGTACCGTGGAGAAAAGATTGCATTAAAAAAGCTTAAAAAGCCTAACGATAAAATATTAATTAAAGAGGTAATTTTATCATTATTAGTATCCTATTTCACTGCATATCTAGCCTTAGCTGACAAACTATATATAATCTATATAGTTAAAACAGTTCATTACAATTAATAAGAATGAAAATATTGTCAAACTCTTAGGAATTACAACATGTAAATATATAAATAAATTAACGCAAAGAAATATTTTAATAATAGGAATTTTTTGGAATTTATCATTCCATTGTTTGTCAATTAGCATGATTTTAAATATAGTAATATAATGATAATATATAAAATATTATTAATTTTATTCCTATAATATATATTATTTTAAATTAATATTTAAATTATAAATAATGGTTAGGTTCAGTAACTTCAAGAAGCAATTACATGCTGGTGTTACAGTTTGCAAATGGCGGCAATTTGAGGAATCACTTGCAAAGTAAAACGCGAGATGGTGTTTTTAAAATTTTATGGACAGAAGTTATTCAGATCGCAGAGCAGATTATCTTCGGGATAAAACATTTGCATGCCAATAAAATTGTTCACAGAAATCTAGTAAATATTAATTTTAAAATATTTTATCTCTGATTAATCTTGAACTGATCGTTAATTAATATTGAACTGATCATAATTAAAATTTTCAGCATCCTAAAAATATCCTAATAAATCACAATAAAATCTTAATTTCTGGGTTTGGTTCGGCATGGAAATTTGATGAAAGTTTGATATATGATGGATTGACCTACGAATATTCTGACCCTCAAAGTTTTATCAATGATCGGTTCACCCCAGACACTAAATCGGACATATATAGCTTAGGAGTAATATTCTGGGAACTTACGAGCGGAATTCGTCCTTTCTCGAAAGGCATCAATAGGCTTGCCTTACCCTTCCTCATTATAAACGGCAAACGAGAAGAAATGGTTCCTGGTACGCCTTCAATTTACGCAAAACTTTATAAAAAATGTTGGAATACTAATCCAAAAAGACGCCCGGAACTTGAAGAAATTTTACGTAAGATTCAACAATCTAGGGAAGCAGCCGAAGAAATTACCAATTGTATATCCTAAGATCATCGTATATCTTAAGATTATCGAATATCTTAAGAGTATCGTATATCATAAAAAAAAAAAAAAAAAAAAGAATTGGCAAAATCTACCTGTTCGTTACCTATTCGTTTACAAATGATGAATATGTAAATTGTATAAAACTAAGATATACCCTATGAATAAGATTATTCTGTATTTTTTTTATTCAATAAATCTATTGATAAAGTTCCATTTCTTAAGAAATTCAGAAATTAATTTTACAAATTTGACCCATAAGGCTGACATGAATTACTATTAAAATCACGTAATATAATTCGGTGCTCGAATCTATGCGATGTCACAATTGCGGCAGGGGAAAGCGTCCGTGTAAGTTCACAGATTTAATGTTGAATAATATTAATTGATGAATAAAATTTAAGTAAACCTCATTAACCTTGCACTTTAGCTCAGTTAGGGTTACATTACGAGTAATTTAATTGAGTTCTGGTCAATAATTTTTTCATGTGATATGTATTATAATGGATTTGGCCAATATGGCCGTCCCCCATATAGTCACATATCGCATTTATGTTTAGCCAAACTATTTATTTAAGAAAAAACTTCCGTATAAGTACAACTCCTTTATAAGCACATTTTAAAAAAAAATTACTATGTGCTCAACTGTGTGACTGACGACTGTATTAACTTCTTCATTTTGTGATTCGCTTTGTAGAAAAACTAGTTTACATAAAATTATCATGTGTTCATAGTTACGATTAAATGAAATGTTGATTTGCCCAAAGCTTATATAAAATTACATAAAATTACCAATAAATGAGGATTTTTTTACCGGACATTCTTCTTTACATAGTAAGCATACAAAAAAAAGCAGGGGGAGCATTCAAATTAGAGGTCAGGTAACTTATCATAACATAATAAAGTTACGGCCAAAATGTCGTAATTTATTATAATAATTACAAGCTTACACGACAAGTTATAGTGATTTATGCAATCGCATAGAACCATATAAACCGCATAATACGTACATAATAGGTTAGATTGATCGCATAATGTATGTTGCTACGTATTAAGTAATTTGTTCTAAGCTTTGTTACAAATAGGAATCAAACACAACTCACGAGCAAGGTCCCCGAAGCAACCGAAAGATGATTTTCATACTAAACTAGATATAAAATTCCGCGTGTTAAGGTAATTTATGTAAATTGGATTTTCATTTTTTGATCATATGATGTATGGCTTTGCGATCAAATTTTCGGCAATTTGAGGAGTTAAATTCTGATCATACATTCAAATTAAATAGTACAAAAAAGCAGGCAAACTTTTGTAAAGCCAGTACTTTATGTAAAAATTACATGAAATTTGATTTACTGAAATTTACGTAGAAATACGTGTATTGTAAAATTGCGACTTTCGTAACACAACCCTAGTTATGGTGCAAAACGCAGCATAATCATACGTAAATATAAGTTTTGGGTTCAGAATAGAGGTGCAGGCAGAACTTGAAGCATTGGGATGTGCCGTAATGTAACTGAGTTATAACTAGTTACAACTTTTTGGTATCTGCTTTAGCTTTGATTGGCTGATCGGATAAATGTTACACAATATGTTCTACATATTAGAGTAACGTTTCCCAAACACAAAAATGGATTGTTTGCCACGAATACGAATTGTTAAAGGTTAAGACAAAAAATTTAATGTATATACCTTGCTTTATAAATTTTCAAAATAATTCGGAAGTTAGATGAGAGGTATATTTGAGCGTTTAAGTTTAGCCTATAGATACAATAATTCATTAAAGTTTGCAATTTAAGTTGTCTTTTATTGTCTCTTTATTTGTGAAAACTTACTCTTTGTAACACTACTAAAAAGGAAACCTGACTATTATCCAGGCTAATAACAGAGAATATGAAGTTAAGAGTTATGTATAAGGTTTATAGAATTCGTGAGAAACGTTAAAACAAAACAGTGCATTTTAATATATAACGATTAATAAATAAAAATAATGATCAGCTTGATATTGGAACAAATACTGAAAGTTATTTCGGATGATTCTTTATTAATTATTAGCATTATAGAATAGGTTCAAACATTTATTTCTTGTATTTTTTGTTTTTGGTTCGTTTTTTCCTTCATTTTTTGATTCATATATGTTGCGACGATATTACAGTTTTAGGTTTAAATTTATCGAGATTTAATAGTAAAAACTTCTGTTAGTATTTAATTTTGTCACAAATATAATTATTCGTAAGGATTTAATTAAAGTTTATATTTATGATTACCACTAAAATTTTTACAATATCATGGGATGATCTACAAAAATTGGCCAATCACAATGAACGCCCTCTATACTGGTGTTATCGGATTACTGTAATTCCAAAAACTCAATTCCCTTATGTCAAGCGAAATTCGGCCTCTGAGCCTCCGGATCCGGGACGCAGAGCTGATATCCTAGCATGGGGTCTTATAATTCTGATTGGCTTTTTCAAGCATAATGTTAACTATTAATTTCTTTTATGATTACAATTACAATAATAAATTTTTTGAATTTATTTATACACGTTTTTTAATTACATGTTTAATGAAAAGTTTTGCTATTTAGAATTTATTAATTCAATATTAATAAATTTATATATTTGTATTAAAATATTAATTTTTTTATAGTAATACAATCTTAAGTACAATTTGTATTTATATATACTGTATAATCATATTTTTTAAAAAATTATATTTATTTAGCTAATTAAAAGTTTATTTGTTCCTCACCTTTGAAGATTAAAAAAAAAAGTTTATTTGTTTAGTAAAAATATTATATAATACAATCAATATACAGTCGATACTGTCTAAATGCATACAGTTGGAAAAGACAAAAAAATTAATTTTATGCATTTATACAGTATTAACCAATCAGATATCAGAAAATTAACTGTCTAAATGCATATTACTATTAATTTTTTTTAAAAAATTATGCATTTACCATTTAGACAGTATGCAGTATGCATTTAGATAGTATCCACTATAATATAATGTTTGTACTAATGATTTATTTAAATATACAAAAAATTTAGCTATCAAATTGTATAAAATAAAACCAATTCAAATTTATTAAACTTTTAGATATAACAATATAATTAGTAAACATTTAAATTTAGCAATAATAATGACAATCTATTATTAATATAACCTGTTGAATTAATATCAATTAGCCAATCACACAGATGTATTTTTATAACTCTGCAGCAAGAATTAACAATCAGATTTTTTTTTTATTAACTAGCCTCTTTGGGCCAAGGTTTTTATTCAAGTATTTAGGCATAGAGCTCATTTATAAAACTTTACATTAGAGAATACAACTAACCACATGTGCAATTTTTGGTTGCTTATTTAAGTAGTTTGCATATTGGTATTACACTTTAGGTTCTACACTAGCTACTACAGTCAGAGAATATACCAAATTAGAGAATCAACATGTAGATCATTTTAGAATCAGATGTTCACATTTGATTGGTTCTTGTGCACATTTTTGCGAAAATTTTTTATTCATTTAATTCATTACTAAAACTCACAAATAGATACATAAGTAGGTTGTAGAAGACATTTAGCTTAAATAATCCACAATAATCTACTCCATTTTACCTTTGCTAAAAAAGTAGATAAAAGCCGAAATCTGAAGTTCTGTTTGTATATAGACACTTAATCTTACTAAAATGGTGTTCAGTAAACTGCTTTTATTTCGCTGTGTTCGTGCTTAATTATTACAGTACAGAACTATAGAATGTTTAGTAATTTATTAAACCAAACTTTTTCTACTACAATAGGTGAAGCTTAGAATTTACTCAACATATAAAAATCAAAAGCTTAATCTGCATTGAGTTGTTAATAATCTGAGTGCTGTCAAGAGAGAATAAGACATTGGGCTTCAATTTTATTATTTATTATTAATTTGATTAAATTTTAAGCTTAGTTTTATTAGTTTATCGCTCGTGCACAATCTTTTATTCAAGTCAATTCAGGTATTATTATTTATTAATCGACGGCTACGGCATTATATTTAGTTTTAGTTTGGGAATTGGCATTTCTTTTAGAGTTTATAACCAAAACTCAAAATATATCCCATTAATATCCTATTTGTAAATAGTGTTAGACTTAAAAATCGAATTTAAATTAGATTAAACATAATAAAAAATATATTAGACGTTGCATAATTAAAAAACAGTATTATGATGACGATTTCGTTACGATTTGAATCTGAATTCTAGAATCATCTGACTGAAGATTATTACCAAATTAGGTGTGATCATCAATGACTGAATTCGATATATTCCCTGACTGAACTATACCTATAACTCAACTAGGGAGTTATCTATTTAAACCTCTGTAATGCAACTTGACTTGTATCACCAGTACATCTTTGCCACAATTATCAGTTGAAAAGAGTTTCTGATACTTTTTCTGGAGCTCTTAGGACTATTTTATCTTTAAGGCATCATTACTAGAGCTTTTTATACCTACAATCCAGCTAATCTAGACTTTCAATAACTTATACTGAGTCTAAAGACAAGTATTTGCAAGCTAAAGCCACTACTATTACTTACTACTGCCTTTGTAAAGTTTACCCAAACCCAAATATACACTTTATGAACATTTACTAATTTTTTTAATACTTAACAGTATTCTAAACTTCCAATTTAGATGGCTTGAAAGAGACTTATATCTTCTGATATTCTAATTGAATGTTTTTTTTTCATATATACATGTGTTGGTTGGTATAATGTCTTGCCAAGCACCTGGTCTTCATTCAGTTTACTGCTGATGTCCAATTGCCAATAATCATCCTTTATATAGTACCATTGAAGATCTGTACTACTTATCTATTTAGAACTTTTATAACTTGCCAAGCGAGCCTCCTTGTGCCTAATTTCTTAAATTTACCTGGATACATCACTCAGGTTTTGTATAACTCTTATATTATACTAACATTCTAGTCCCTCCTAATATGAGCTAGTACAATCAAGATTATATGT